CCTCGGGAAAAGCCGTTATTCTATGGAGACCTAGTTCCTCAAGGACTGCTGTTTAGAGTGTGGAAGGCTCCCCAGGTGATTTCAATATGCAGCCAAGACTGAGAACCACTGGTTAGAGTCCTCTAAAGGGAGATCACCTGTTTCCACAAGGTGTTTTCTCCTAGTCACCCGCTGTTACCTGTTGTCACCTGTAATTAGTGGCACTGATTTGTTGTTGAGGTTTAGATTTTTGTGGGTAGTGTCACATGGTGAGTCAGGTTTAAATGCAGGTCCCTGACCCCAACTGCCCAGAGAGTACAGTTCCATAGATCTTTCCTGCATTTCAACCTTCTGACATAGGTAGGTGGTCCCCAGGCCACATCTGGAGAAAATGCCAGAAGTAACTAACCCTGGAAACAAAATCGGGGGCTTTTTCTAATTTTCTCTTTGACCTTTATCAATGTTTTTTCTCTTGCAGTATGATCTCAGGATACTGCCATGTTTCCTAGGCATGCGGTGAGGATCCATTTGATTAATTCAGTGGGTTCCTTGAAAATCTCAAATGATTTAGACCCTTGTGGTTGCACTGGTGCTCTGTCAAAGGGGATATAAGATGTAAAAAAAAAAAAAAAAAGATTGTGTGGGTGTTGAAAGTTTTTAGTTGATCCAAATAATTTTTTCAACCACTACATTATTTGTTGTTAGATTTTTGTGGTCATTGAATGAATTGGCCTAGTAAAGTTTTCACATGTTGTAAGACCCTGGAAGGCTCTAAAATATAGATGAGTGTGCTGTCTGTACGTGGGTCATGGCACCCTTTTTAGTTTCTGCTATGTCATGTTTAGAGAGTGTGAGTGTACTTCATTTCCTCCCTTTCCAACCAGTTTTATTTCATTAAAATATCCGGCAGCTATATCCTCAGTATCCAGCAGCTGTAAGGAAATGCTCCTGATCTGTGGTTTTTCACTTCCTGGTTTCACATTTTAACCATGTCCCACATTGGCCCGGCGAGTCCTTTCTGCAGTCTCAAGACCTATAAGTGAGCATTCTTAAGAACAGTCAGACATGGGAGGTGGTGTCTCTGGAGTTGCATCTGCTTGCGAGCTGTAAGACCTCGGGTAGAACACGCAATCTCTGTGTTTCCTTGTTTGTGAGAAGGGGGTTCATTGTGAGAATTAAGTGGGGTAATACATACACAGTACTTAGCAGTGTCTGGCACACAATAAGTGCTCAATAAATGCTAGCTGTTATCATTTTATTAAACAAAGCTGACCATGAATGTAAGGTCACGGACGAATGGGGCCGAGTGAGGGAGACTGAGTGTGCCTGCCTTGCCCTCTGTGTGCCAATATTTCTACATATGAGTGCATGGTCATGCATGTGTATTTCGTGGCCATCGTGCAGTATGACAATAAAGGAGAGACATATCAAGTATCCCCTGTGAAGTCTGCCTTATCTATACATTTTTTTGGTAAGCCACGTGCACATATACATTTGCACATGTGTCCGTAAAACTTGTGTTTGTTACTTCTTGCAATTACATGTAAGGAGTTAAGTGGTCCGGCCTAGAAAACGCACACAGTGACAAAGGATGGTGGCAATGGCCCTGATGTGAAGGAGGAAGAGCCTGTGTTCTCTCCTCTTTCTAGTTGTTCTAATACAGATTTGTCTTGTTGGCCGTGATCAGCAAGTAGATGTAAATTTCTCTCATGACTCAGTGTATCCCATAGAAAAAAAAAGCCCATTGTAATGTGTTAAAACTTGAGTTCACGTGAACTGGGCCCTGGGTGTGAACAGCTCAAACTAAGGGATCCTAAAGCACGGCCTTGGGCAAGTCATACTCGTTTTTCTGCAGTTTATGCCGGCTGTTGAAACGAGATGACGTTGTTGTTGACATACCTTCTCAAGGAAGGTCAAGATGGACCAGTAAACATCAGTGAAATGCCAGGAGAGGAAGAAATGGCAAATGACATCTTTAAACTCCCTTAAGTTTTGGATGGACAGAGGCAACTGAAATGCAGTGTCTCCCATTGTCAGACACCCACCTCATTTTTTTCCTAATGTTTGTTTATTTTTGAGACAGAGTGTGAGCAGGGGAGGGGCAGAGAGAGAGGGAGCCACAGAATCCAAAGCAGGCTCCAGGCTCTGAGCTGTCAGCACAGAGCCTGATGCGGGGCTCAAACTCACGCGCCGTGAGATCGTGACCTGAGCCAAAGTCAGACGTTCAACCGACCGAGCCACCCAGGCACCCCCGTCAGACACCCACCTGAAACTGGACTTTAGGTTGGGTAGACCTGGTAACAGTGATGTGCAGAAGTTGAGACCTGGAAGAGCAGCAGTCCAGGAATTTGGGTACAAACCTCAGGCTGTGTTGCACAGTATTGCAGGAAGCAGTTAAGTACAGAATTGCCGAGAATTTGGGACAAGATATGAACAGAATTGGTTCATCCAGCATTGGAGGCGAGCTCTGAACTCAGACCAAAGAAATACTGCCACTCACTAGCTTGGTGTCTGTGGGTAAGTCATTGAGCCCCAGTTTTCTCATTTGCAAAGTGGTTGCTCATTCTGGCTCCTTTCTTTTTCTTTGCAAGCCATGTGGTTGGCAGGATGAGATATGGTGCTGGATACCAGAAGTGCTTTAGAAAAGATTGCCCGCTATCCCAGTGCCAGAGGGAAAAACTGTTACTACCTGGGGTAAGGTCGGGTGGCCTTTACCATCAGTACCCTCTGGATATCTCTCTGTGACTCGCTTTTCTTGGTCCTGTATGTTGGCATTGTGTTTTATAGGACTTTATGCCACCAATTAAATAAACTTCTTAGAGGCTTTTAAGAAATGTCGATTAGCCTGGCAGACAGAAACTAGGAAATGTGTCATTCTTCCTGATACCAGACAGGGCTTTATGGAAGTCTGATGCAGAGATTTGGTTCAAGAGAAATCTGATTATTCTGTTCCAGGTCTGTTCTGAGTCTGCGGTGTCAGTCTGTTGTTAAAGAATACATCACTCTCTCTTCCGCCATTTGCGCACTACTGGGCTAGATGCTACTTTTTACAGAGGGTTTTGTGGATATATGAACCTGCATATAACTGTGTTTACCATTTCAGCTAACACTGGGTCTTCAGATGTTATTTTCAAGTCACTTTGGTGAGGGCTGGTGACTTCTGTGCTTATAAATGTTGGGTTGTAGACATTTGTCATGTTTACTTGTTCTGTGTTCAGATTTGTATCTGCAGAGTTTGCTTTTGATATAACATCAAGCGAATAAAGGTCTTAAAGATTTATAGTAGAACTTCATCTTCAGAGGTGTATGTGGGGGCAAGAGAGTCCCAGGGAGTAGGAGATGGGTGCCAAGACCGCCTCGTCGTCTAGACCTCCTCAGATAGGATGAGGGATCTGTACCCTTCACAACACAGAGCGCTGGAGTTGCCTTCCGTCGCTTTGGACGCCATGGAATTGCGGTAGAGTTCTTTGCCCTGCAGACCCACTCTTCCTGACTCCCCACAGGGAGAAGCCATGCTCCGCGGGAGAGCCAGGCCCTCCATGGGTGGCCCTGTGCCACCTGCCAACAGTGCAGCCAGCGCCTGGCAGTTGGCCTGAGAGCTCTGCGTTTGTCCTCGTCAGGACCAGGGGGCTGGGGGTTCTGCGCCAAGGGGTGGAGTGTATTTGTGCAGTCGCCAGAGACGTGATTAGACAAGGTATCGATTCCGAACTCCTGCCCCCTTCCTTCTGTTCGACTCTGTTCTTCCTTAGTGAGGTTCGGGCAGAGAAAAATGGAACAGAGAGAACTAGGCCACTGGCTTTTGAAAAATATTGATCTGTGAGCGCATGAGATGTAGCCCAGACCTTCCCCTTTGTGTGATGTCATGCTGCACGGGGGCCTTAATGTGGCCTGTGATCGCTCCTGCAGGGATTTGCTTTCTTAGGGAAAAGACTAGAAAAGGAAAAGAGTCACTGTAGGCAGTATCCAAAAATAATGTCAGCATTTCTAAATGCGTTGGCTTGAAGTCGGTGATCCCTTTGGTTTTCTAGGCCATGCGGTGGCAGGAGGGAGCACTGTGAGGTGGTCAGCCTTGAGCAACAAACTTCTGAGCAGTGCTGGTCCCAGTCCTTCTCTTTGGTCCACCTCTCCCCGGCTTGGGCCTCCACTGCTGTCTGTCTGTCTGTCTGTCTCCCCACCCCACCCCCATCACACATACCACATGCATGTTCTTTCTGCCCGCAGTGCATGTCTGTGGTGTGGACACTTGCATTTGTACTTGAACCAGCTCTGAGCCAGGGCCTCCCAGTTGGGCCGCTCTGCGTGAGTGAGATGCTGTACCCTTGAGTGTCCTCCGGTCAAGTGAAGTGTGGTCCTGGCTTTTATCTTGATTTGCCTGGGTTAGCTCTGTGTAAGCAGCCAGGCCTCCTGCTAATGGGTCCCCTGGGACAGAGGGAAGAGGACAGAAGTGGATTTGTTGAACCCCTCTGGGGCATTTGAAATGGCACCAAGAGCAGGCTGAAATCTAATCAGCCTTTGCTTATCAGGCCTGAGTTCCACCACATTGAAAGGGTGATGATTAGTAAGAAAAAGGCCAGGATGCTTTATCTTTTCCTTTGCACACTGGGAAAAATTTCCTCTGCCTTGCTAGCATTAGAAGCAGACCATTCTTTTTACTCTACCACGTCACATCAGCTTTCATTAAAAATCAACGGCAGCAGATACAAAGCCCCACCCACGGAAACGCGTTTAAGGCAACACTGTGCGCCAGCGCTTCGGGGCTGGGGTCTTTGCCTTCTGCACCAGCGGATCGGTTTCTCATCTCCATGCCTTTCGACCCAGCAGCTTTTAAAAGACCAAGAAGCATTGCTCTGCTTTCTACTGCCTCTCTCTGAGACCAGGGCTGCCGGGCGGGCCTCTAGCCATGTCCCAGAGAGCGTATTTGAGACAAGTCAGCTTAATTGCCTGCATGCCTAGGAAGCCTCTCTTTAAAATCTAATTTCGAGACAAGAGCGGTATCTAAATATCTTGCTTTTCCCGTTCAGGCGAGCGACGGAGGCGCCGCTGCCAGGTGGCATTCAGCTACCTGCCCCAGAACGATGACGAGCTCGAGCTGAAAGTGGGCGACATCATAGAGGTAGTAGGAGAGGTGAGTGTGCCACGCACGGGGAGGGGGGTGGGTGGCCTCAGGTGGGCTGTCAGAACCCACCCCCGGTTGGCCTTGTTGTGGCGGATGTTAGAGCTTAAGGAGACCTTCGACGTTGTCTAGTCGAGTCTCTTCTCAGAGGAAGTGGGTTCCCAGAGAGGAACGCCACCAAGCCCATTAGGAGCAGGTGTGGGCCGTTGGAAATTACTGTCTTTGTTGAGTACTTCTGAGGTCCCAGCCCGCTGCCTGGGTTTTCTCCCCCGCTTCAATGGCTAGGAGACTCCTGCCATCCAGAGTGACCCTGAGCCATCTCTAGAGGGTGAATTCAGTCTTCGTGGTGGGGCACACTGTGGATTCACAGGGAAAGAAAAGCGACATTTATCGAAGACCTAGTATAAGGCATGTGACAAGGTTCTTTGCACGTTGGCCCATTGGTGGCCCATCACAAGCGCCTCATTTTGTAGATGAGAAAAGAGACTCGAAAGACCCTAGAGGAGTCAGGGCCGAGTGTTAAAGCCAGGTCCACGTGGCTGGAGACCCTAGTTCTTTCCCCTGCACCACGTTCCCTTATTCCTCCTTGGTCCTGGCTGCTCAGAGCCAGCCCTGCTGGCGAAGTGCCCTGCCACCACTGGCACAGGCGTCTCAGACCCAACCCCTCCGTCCTGGGTGTTCGTGGATTTCAGACTTACAGCGTCATCATTCATTCTGATTCAACACATGTACCTGTATATAGAAATGCACTTCTCTGAGAGCCTTGGTTTCCTGAGTACCATTCGACCTTACAGAACCCCATGATTTACAAAAAAAAAAAAAAAAAGCTAGAAGTCAAGGAGGAGATTAAGTGAACTGTGGCATGGGTCCAAGTAGCAGGGCTGATGCTAGCCACCACATTCCCTGTTCATACAAACATAAAATGAGCATGCGTCAAAGCTTTATGTAACTCATTAATGAGGGGATCTGCAAGATGGTATGGCTGGCTCAAAGAGAATTGTGGAAGAGGAAGGTATTTATAATGACTTGAAAGAGAAAATACTTGATTAAGGTTGCTAAGTTGGATGCAAAACTACATCGTGTCCCCACGGGGCAGTAAACTATACCCTTTGAGGTTATCTTTTCTAGGGGATAAGGCACTTGTATCTCTGGCAGTCAAGATTTATTTTCATTGCTATCTGAACAGAATCATTCTCATCACTTTTGCTTTTCTGCCAGTTTACACCCGCACTAACAGAATCATAAATAGTAAATAGGGCATCAAACAAAGATACCTGTCTCTAGAGAATCAGTTACCGGGACTCCCAGTATGGCACCTGGAGGACACAAAGTAAGCACGTGTGCCTATCTCCCACTTTTTGGAGAATTTGTATTCATGTGTCATTCGTTCACCATTTTGTATCCCTGTTGCCAAGTCGGGCACACCGGAGCCGTTTGTTGAAAGATGAATGAGCAAAACAGGAACGGGCAGCAGAGGTGAAGGTTTATGCCAATGCTGAAAGGGACACATTCCTTTTTCTTTTTTTAAAAAAATGTTTATTTTTGAGAGAGAGAGGGAGAGCGGGGGAGGAGCAGAGAGACAGGGAGACTGAGGATTGGAAGCAGGCTCTGGGCTGACAGCAGAGAGCCTGGCGTGGGGCTCAGACTCACCCACTTTGAAATCATGACCTGAGCGAAAGTCAGACGCTTAACTGACTGAGCCACCCGGGTTCCCCAAGGGACACATTTCTTAAGACCAAACCCATGGAAGAAATTCCAAGAGAAATAATGAATAGTGTGACTAATTAAAAAAAAAGAATTAAAATTTTGGTATAATTTGCAGCGAGTTTAGCTAAAAAAAAAAAAAAAAAAAGAACAACAGACAAAACATTTTGCAAGAAATCATAAAAAGTTATTATATATATCATATGAAAATATATTAAGAAGGTACTGTAACAATGATAAATGGTAGATAATTGTGTCATAGACCCAAAGCCCACAAGGGGAAAGAAAACTCTTTACCATGAGAAACTGTTCCACACTGCTATTAATGAAATAAATGCAAATTAAGACAATAATGGGTTCCTGCTTTTGAGAATCTCGAGAAAATACTTAGCGGTTAAGACTGTGGCTAATACTGAGAAGTGGTGACTTTGTGCATATTTCTGATCCTAGTATGAAGCTATTTAGCAAGGTATGGCAAGAGCTGTTAAAATCTGAATTAACAACCTTTGAGCCAGTAATCTCACTCCCGGGAATTTATCCAAAGAAAATGGTTAACAGAAAAAAAAAATATGTGAAACGCATAATTGCTTGTGATAATGAAAAATAATCAAGAGAGGGAATAGTTATGTGAATTAAGTGATATTATCCAGCTAGAAGATTGTGAAGACATTGATTGAGATGGTAAACCCAAGAGGCCTTTAAATCTTTATTTATTACAATACTGTGTTGTGATTTTCTGTTAAATTCTGCTAACCTGAGAGCTTTTCAACAGCAGGGATCTGGTTTTGATCGATCTTTCTATACATGGTACTGGAATAGTGCCTGAAACCTGATATGTACTTTAATAAATGCTTGCTGAATAAGTAAATGGAAGTATGAAAAGATTCTTTTACAAAATAAATGAATAGATCAGGACACAAACTTACATACACTAGGACACAGCTGTGTAAAATATATCTCCATGCATGTGATCAAAGACTGAAAGGGAACAATAATTGAAAATGCTTGTAGGGGTGCCTGGGTGGCTCAGTGGGTTGAGCGTCTGACTTCAGTTCAGGTCATGATCTCGCAGTGAGTGAGTTCGAGCCCCGAGTCGGGCTCTGTACTGACAGCTCAGAGCCCGGAGCCTGCTTCAGATTCTGTGTGCGTCTCTCTCTCTGCCCCTCCCCTGCTCGTGCTCTGTCTCTCTCTCTCGCAAAAATGAATAAATGTTAAAAAAATTTTTTTTAAAGACTGTTAGTTAAAAAAAAATGCTTGTGTCACAGAAGATGGTTTGTTCTTTAGTGTTGCAATAATGTTTTAAGAAATACAGATCAAGATAAGGAGAATCATTAACAGCTTTCTGGGAAGTCGTGCCCACCCTCACCTGCCTGTTGGCTGTAGGGAAGGCAGGTGCGGATCGCTGAAGGAGAGGAGGGATTGCAGGTGTTCCTCTTCTCACCTAGATGACACAGGGTGCCCTTCGCACCTTCGGTGCTAGTCTCCTGTTCACTCACTGCCCTTTCATTGCTTGGCTTCATGAAGGGCTTGCTGCAAATTGGAAAAAGGAAAAATATGTAGCCTATGATAGTTATGTAAAACAAAATGTTAAGGTTGGCCTTTTAAACCATATTTTATTTTTTGTTAAACAAATTTTTAATGTTTATTTTTGAGAGACAGAGAAAGAGCGTGAGTGGGGAGGGGCAGAGAGAGAGGGAGACACAGAATCCTAAGCAGGCTCCAGGCTCTGAGCTGGCAGCACAGACCCCGATGTGGGGCTCAAACCCATGAACCATGAG